GAGCTTATCAGAAAACTTAGATTTTCATTAGGATCAATCTGGTTGTTATTCGAAAGTGTAGAAACAAGACGCATTTAGCACATAGATGGATTCATTCATCAAAATTTACTGATGTTGAAGTAAATAAGAGGCATTACTTTGCTTCTTCATTCACTTATTCTCAAATGTTCCATTTCTTTTCTTGGAATGAAAAATATTTCCGTTTTTCTTACGATGCTGGAATTTTCATTGTATTGTACTGTTGTGATTACTAATTCACAAAAGTAATATAAAGCTATTTGTTAGTTAGTATAAGAATGAATTTGTTGTGAATACTTCAAGTTTTGTTTAGTTCTTCAGAAGTAATTTATTTATATAAAAGAATGGTTTCGAGTACATCAAATTCATGTGAACACGAACCTGTCAATATTATGTGAATTCCTGTCTAGTAGCAGAAATAATTTTAATTATCTGTTTGAACAATTTTATTGTTACTTGTGCACGTTTAATTGCATTTGAAAACTTCTTCAAAAATAAATTTTTCATTCAACGTTTTCTACAACAACTGAAGAGAGGTTATCGCTTAAAAATATAATATTGTTTAGAGCAGGCACATTTGGAGATATGCATCTGGAGACTTCAGGTCTTTATCGAAAGTTCTGTCTTATTTCAAGAATGCGTGTAAGAGTGTAAATGAATAAGTGTTAAAATTTTATTTAGAAATAAAATTTGTCAATAGATGAGTAGAAAGATTCAAAGGATTGAACTTGAAGATTTATTGTTTCAATGACATATAAGTTGACTTTTTGCCTGCTTCACTCTTCTGTTTCACTAGACTTAAGGGCTTATGCCTAAAGCAAAAACGAAAGTTTGATGAGGTTCTAAAAAATTTCAGATAATGAATACACAGACAATGGATATATGCTACAGAACTGACTAAAACAAATTGTCATTCTCCATGCCTCCATTTCACATGATCTATAACAGCAAAAAATTAAAATTCTGAGTACAATTACTTTGATAATTTGGTAGTCCAAACAAGAGATGCAGTTATGTAAAGTTGTAAGGAACGAAATACAAATCATCACAAGTGTAGACACAGATACGTGTTTGTCAAGTCCATTCACGTAGAGAGAACAATATTTGCAATAATAACGACGTATAAACATGCGTGTCACGGTATAAGCCCTCAGGCATTCAAATTCTCACCTTTTGATTCCCGAATTATTGAATGAGATTTGACACTCAATTTTTATTCAATAATTCAGAAATCAACAATGGAGAGTACACTTATTTTTGAAGTGGAGTAACATCTCAACCTTTTTCAGGATCATTCCTGACATCCATGCTAGATGACAATCTTCCATTTCTGCTTCCAATAATCTGTGTAAATGTAGATATCAGTCATTTGTTTTTTCTTGTTTTCATATTGTACTATTTGCTGGTAATTTGGTACATTAACTAAGTAATTGCTCTCGAGCACAAAATGTTTTATCCACCACTTTTCACTACTACATGAGCTTTTGTAATTATAAGAAACGTAAACTTACTATCAACTGACCATAACAGCGACAAAATACAACAGTAATTTGATATCAAAATCTCAAATAAAAAATTGGGAGATAATATATTCTTCAATAACTTTCAGAACATGACAGTGATTATAAGCAGGGACATATTATGATATAAGCAGTTATCTTCTTTAGATGGAAATTAATTTAATTATATTAGGGGCGTTTTAAAACAGAAAATGTGTCTATAAAAGAGTATTAGCACTGAACTTATAAATCAGAAATCTACATCGCCACCACCGGTGGCACTACCACTATCATCAAAACTTTGAATATTACGAGTTTGGAATAAATTGCATAATTCGTCTACAAATGTTTCATGTCGGAATGATACTCGTATATCAGGGACATTTGTACGCGACACGTCGTTACCCAGTACCCCTTCCTCTTTATAATTTGGTCCTAGCCAATGAACCTTGACCTAAAATTCATATCTAGAGCACAAAACAGAATTAAATCCGACGACTTTCTCAGAGAATGAGTCCAAGTCATTTGAAAATCACTTTGTAAATGATATTATTCGCAAGCTATGTAACAAGATCAAAATAAACAAAGTAATGTCATAATCAAGCCAAACCAAACCAACCTTGTCTTCAAATCCACTTTGTAGTACACTATTTCGTGCTAATTCGCACATATCACAGCTACTAAGTTTCCACACCTGAGCAGCGATGCTATATTCTTCCATTAAAGCTTCCTTAAATATTGAGTTAATCTAAAAAACTCTACGAATTTATTATTTGGCTTATCAACTCTTATCATCGATTGAAGTTAGAACACTTATAGAGGTAGAAATTTTACAATTTGTGCAACTGCAATACTATAAAAATTTGGTACTACATTAGGGGAAGAAATAATCTTATTTTACCTTTGTGAAATGAAACTGTAAAGGATCGTCCGTTGATAAAGAAACGTTTAATCCTTTCATGTGGAATTCTGGTAGTGGATTACGATGATAACTAATGAATAATGAATTATTACTTAATGGAGACATTGCAATACCGATTTGCGAGAGATAAAACAAATACTGAAGGACAGGTACCTGTAATAAACTGACACTTTTTTATGATAAAATAACAGATGAATAAAAATTTTTGATCACTTAGTATATCAGATAATCAAATGTTCTGGGGATTCAAAAAGTGATTATAATTTCAACAATTGTACAAGAAGGAAATCATTGATAGATAAATAACCCAAACGGTTAATAAGCTAATATTTCATGTCTGGTCCCCGTTTCCATATAATACTTGTTGGTTTGAACTAATTTTTGACGTAAAAAATATCATTAAGGCATATTAATGAAATAATATACCTTCCTAAGAAGTAAGCCATGCGCAATACTTTCAGATGTCAAATAACCCGTGACAAGATGATTTACGTGACCTGCTTCACCGCAATGCGGCCGTAATGAAAAAGTATTCAGGCCACGTTCCCTAAACACCAATTTACTCTACCTTTCATTAAATACATATCCATCAATGGAAAAAAGTAGCATTTTGAAATTAAATAATTAATTAGCTGTTGCCTGAAATTCAGCAGTCGTGCGTAATAAATAAGACGAATGAAATAGAGTAATTGGAGTATTAAAAACTAGTACAATTGTAAATGAAGCTTAATTATCAACTAACTATTTAAATTTAAACTAGACTTAAATCTTTTGTATTGAATACAAAAAAAAAGTTGCTGCTAACCGTCTAAGTGCATTGAGTGCCACCAAATTTGCGTACATATAATATAAGTAATAATCATAAGATGGATTTTCAGCATCTGAATAATTTGTTGGTTCGGGTGTTGAACGATCAAACTGTAATATAATTAACTGCGTATTCTCTCTAAATGATCATCATTTGAAAGTTTTGAAATGAGACATATTCAGAAACATCAGAAATCACAACAGTGAGATTTCTATATTTCAAAATAAAAGAATTGCAGCATAAGGAAGTGTACAATTTCTTAAAAGGTACATAATTTAATTTAACTTTAATTTCCACGGTTACTCTGGTAATACCTACAGTCAGTGCTTGATACCAAATATGATCGTTAACTTGAAAAAGTAACATTTTATAGGATGATACTTAAAAGAACTGACTTTAACATGTTCATATTTACTTTCATCATCAACCGAATCAATTCCAGAAACTTGCTGTAAGAATCGAAATAGTAGTGGATGAGATTCGGGATCATTTGTTACTTCAAAAAGTGGTGTGAATACATTATCAAGCATTTGATCGAAATTCTTTACCATTTTTTTTGCATGATAGACATCACTGAAATATTTTTTGTAAGCAGTAAATTATAACCTTTCCGCAAATGTAAGAAAATCCCAGCAACAAACTACCTAAATGAATAATTTTCACAAATCAAAAAAAGAGTTATTAATCAAAGAAGCTGAGTTAACATCATAATTTAATTTTGAAGTATTGTTAAGAAAAGCTGACTAAAGCCGTGGAATCTGAATCAACCATCGCGCATTTACAGAGTAGATGTCATTTGTAATTGCCCACTTAGCCAGTTTATCCCATTCTCCTTTGTCGTGTCCGTAAATTGATAAACGTGGTTCTGCATGCTGATACTTGCTATCTTCCAAGTCAGAGAGAACTTCCTTAAGTATATGATCATAAATTTTTGAGATATCTCAAATTTTTTAAACAAGTCAGTCTACATTTGCTAAAGACATAGTTCATTAAATATCAGAATAACTTCAGTATATGAATTATGACTTTGTGATATTTCATCTACTGAAGTTATTAAAAAATATGTAATCTTAGTAGCATTAAAAATATGTAATCTGAAATCTGGAAGACAATTTTAAGTACAACTATGCATATAAGTATCTGAATTGTTATATATTTAAAAAACGAAACGAAATAATAATGAAACCTTTTCTAAAATGACAATATTCTTTTCAGTCTTCATCCCTACATTTTAATCTTTCTCAACTGACAATTAGGCAAGATATAAAACAACAGTAGCATTAAAGTTGTGATAAGACTGTCCGATACCAAGTTCAATATTTCAAAACTCCTAACCGTTTTTTTAACTTCAAATATTACATGAAACCGAAATTATTCAAGCTTGATCGAATTTTAATCCAAATCCTTGAAGACTTCTACTTTACAGAGACTGAAAATCATAAAATTCTGTGCAATCCCAAAGTAATATGTAAGATCTGTTAATAAAGATTCTAAATTTGATAATAGCTAACTTTTAAAACTTCCGCAAAATATTTGCCTCCAACATAATTGTCTGTTTTGATAAAAATTTCTCGTAAAATACTTTCCCCAACAGGATTATATTTAGTGTTAAATTTATCGAAACGATGAAAGGTATTCCGATCCGCATGAACATCTAACATATCGACTGATAAATCATACGCATCAATTCCAAGACCTAAAAGTAGTATTACAAATTTACTTCCTTGATAGCATCTAATTTGCATATAAATTTTTTATGCTCACAAATTTTAAATTAAGATTTAAGAACAAAACTGACATAGGTTTTCGATAATAGGACAAGGAAGAGCTCAAAAACTTAACTTAGAAACAGCATTGAAGCGATGAATGAATGGAATGATATTATCAAAGTGAATGAATCTCACAAAACTTAATTACCAATTGACAATAAAATAAAATATGGACTGAGTATCAAAAATATTTCAAGTAAGATACCTTCGAAGACTTGTTCCAAAGTGATTTTCTTGCCATACTAAAACAAAAATCCCATTTCCGAATGAAATTTAAACAATTAAAATTAACATTTACCTTCTTTTCTTCACTCAAATATTATCATAAAATAAGATCAAATTTCAATTCTTAATCAAATATATAATATGTAATCTGGAATACAATTTTAAGTACAGCTATGCATATAAGTATCTGAACTGTTATATATTAAAAAACGAAACGAAATAATAATGAAACCTTTTCTAAAACGACAGTATTCTTTTCAGTCTTCATCTTTTTTTTAATAAAACGTAGGAGGTGCTTTTGATTCATTGAGCTAGCAGCGTGAATGTGAGTATCAACCTCAAATTCATCACTAATTTTATTTATTTGTCATTAAATATTTGAACTGAAGATGACTTTATATGAATTTCTTTATGTATTTACTAACATGACTATATAATTATTCATTCTTTTCTTTGATATTCTGATTAACAATGAAAAAACCTTTCATTAAAATAAAATGCTAGAAACCATCTAAGTAAATTTAACTTTACTGATTTTGTCAGGGAATCCAATCAGATAAATCAAAACCTAATGAACTGGAAGGAAGAATCACGAATTTCTTAATACTGATATCAAAAAATAATCTGATCATATGTGATAGTTTGTACCTTTCTGATATTGTAGAAATCTCGATGAGGTACAGATTTCTGCTCATACTGTTCTCGAAGTTCGTTCATTAGAGTATGCAGTTGAAATTTATTTTGAAGAAAACACAAACGTCGATAACAAAAGCTTTTCCTGCAATAAATAAATATTAATTAATTTGCTGACTAAACAAGTTACGTAAATAAGATACAAATTACACTAATAAATTTCCTAGCAACGAAGACAAAGAAAAATGGGAAAAAGTAATATTAAAATTCAAATAAGTAGTTAAATCTAACTTACAATGGTCCATTTGCAATCATAATAGAAAGTTTTCCTAAATCTCGTAAAAATTTTTCCTTGCTAATATATGCATACTGTAGTGAGTTTGGTATTTTTCCGTTCTCATCGAGAACTTCCACCTGCAACCTTTCAAATTTCCTTTATTTTTACACCGAAAAAGTGAAAAAATTATAATAAAGTAAGAAGGAAATTAAAATAAAAAAATCATTTTCATGAAATTATTGCATTAAAAAAATAAAACTATGCTTAAAATGATTGAAGAAAAGTAATATTATTAAAATGAAATTTTATTAATAATAATTGCTACTTATGATTAATTTCATATTTACTAGTTTTAAGCTTATTTTTGCTTCATGCGGGTTATTTTTTCACTGAATTAATTTTTAATGAGAAATAAAATTTTGGAACATTAATGATTTTGAAATCGAGGTAATGTTAAGCAATAATTCTATTTTAAAAAATTATCCGCCATTTTTTTATCACTCTCCCCGATTTATTAACATAAAACAAACAGCAATGATATCAAAATTTTGCCAATTTGTTAATACAAAATTTTCATACAGAAAATCTAGATGTTTGGTTTTACAGTATGACTACGTCAAAAAGTTTTTTTTTTTTTTAACATAAAATGATAAAGCTGATTCAATTTAAAACTGAATCAGAAGAAATTAAGTTTGTGAATTGCATCAGCTTTGCCCATTGATTTTCGTTTCTTCTAAAATATGAGAAAAGTGTTAAAAATCAAGTGAAGATAAATTGCAGACTTATCCATCCATATGAAAATTAAAAAATTTTTGGTTAGCAAAATTACTAGTAATATGAACAAAAAATAATAGTGAAGGAAAAAAATTAAAAAAAATAATTTACCACGCCATGGTTCCGATTTAAGGTATAAATTTTTTCATATTTGGGTAAAGATAAGTTCAAACCCCAGTGATCTTCTGGTGGTAAAGGTGGATTATACGACGTTTGTGCAGCTGAAACAGTGAACTTAATTACTTGAAATTAGAACATGAATTGAAATTACATTAGTCAAAATTAATAGACAGCATGCAATACGGCAGGAAATGAAGATTGAATTGTAATCAACAACTACACACATTCAAATGACATGAGGATCAGACATATAAAATAAGAAAATATTATTTATATGCACGGAAAAAAACTACTACTAACTACGAATTAAATCAAATGAGTGATAATATTTCGATTAAGCACTCTCAATTCATAATTTGGTTATTCATCTGAGCATATAACAGGCGAAACAACAAAAAGCCTTTATTACTATTTTTAAATCCATTACTCAGGAATCTGATGTAAGAGCAAGTTAAAATTATATCGAAATCGTTAATAAAAATAGCAGATTAAACCAAGAAAAATATTACGGAATTTTACTGCCTTAAATGATTCTTCCAAAATCCTTAAACAATCACAGCAATGAACCGTGCTGGAAACAGTTGTTCAATCTTTTTGCAATAGAATCTATTCCTCAATAATCATATTACTGACATTCAAGTTTGACATCAGCATAAAACTTGTATTACATTGCAGTTTTCACTAATCTTCATCGAAATTTTTCAGTGTCTTTCTCAAAAACTTATCTATTCGACAGAGTAATCATATCTGCGAGTATCAAGAAACAGACTCGACATATTCGTAAATATAAGTATTACTAATTGCTTGAATAAAAAGTGAAATTAATCATAACAAGTAAAACTGAAAACTGAATACAATAAAATAATATTTCAACCGTATGTTAAAAAAAATTAAGAGAGTTGCTTCTTACGTCATTTCGCAAGCATAAAGTTTATTAAGAAAAGGACTTGAATAATACTGAAATATGAATACATAAAAATTGTCGATAATCGTCTAATTTTCGCAGCACAAATGATCCATTATAAACGCTTGTCTATAATTTTCAAGATATAAATATCAATTTCTAATTCACAAACATAACTTTTTTCCTAACCTTCGGCACTTTATTAAAAAATGATAAATATTTTGCTTTTAATAAAATAAATATGAAATTATGTAATTATATATTAATGGCAAATAATTATTCACATTATCTACCGATTAGCAACATACTAAAATTATAATTTTATAAAAGCAGTGAAAAAAAATGCATACTGAAAAAAAAGTTCTTGTCATTAACAATTGTTTCAATTTTTCAAATTTATTAAGTAATTCCAATGTTATTTACTAAAGCTACGTAAACACGAATTAGGCAAATAGGAACAAATATAATCAACTTATTCATGCTGTTAATAGTTTCTTACTGCTAAATAAAATCAGCGATTAGTCAAAAACCTATGCTAGAATTGAATTACCTAAATTATACCATCAGTTACCTTTTTGACTGCAATTCTTGTCCGATAATGTTTTCAATGAATGTTTGAAGACGTTATGCGAAGACTCTTAAAACTTATCAAAATTTTGCAGAAATAACAAATACATCAAAGAAATATGCAAGATTATGTACTCCTTACAACCATTGTGCATGCATGCATAATATAATAATACTAATTGAAAATTTTCATAAACTGCAAGTAATACTTGTTAAAACTTCCATATCTACTGTTTTACTTGGACATTTTTGCATATTAATAACTAATATGTCGCTAGGAATAATAACTAATATGTCGCTAATTGTCAACATATAAAGTGAAAACTGTGCAATTACGTACGGAAGTGAAAAAAATTTTTTTCAACCACAACAAACATTTGAAAATGATTACTAATAAGTTTGCGTGGCTAAATCAATGACTTGCTATTACAAACACTAATAACAGACTGATAAAATGAGTAAAAATTAAAGATAGAAAAGTAGATGTCAAAGTTCAAATGGGATTTTAAAATCGAAAATAAACCAACCTAAACTGCTAGCTGAATATTGCCATTTGAGTAATACAAATTATAAAATTATTTAAGTAATTTTTATTGATTCTAAAAAGTATAAAGTATCTAAAGTGATTTATTATGCTTCCCTTTCTTCAATTCAATACATCAAAACAAAATCTACATTGAAAACTACAACAAATGAAGTTGCAATTTACGTATGAAATAATTATCAAGAAAATCATAATATGAAGAAAGGAAGAAACTGATTTATTTGGTATATTTTACATGTAAATTATTAATAAGTATATAAATCTCTGTCACATTATTAAATTGAGACAAACAAAAAAATTTTATCAGATCTGACGAAACTTTCATAAAGACCAACGCAGTTAAAATTCTTCTCTGACAAAAAGATGTGAATTTTCTAAAGGCAAATTTTTTATAAGTGAAAAAAGTATTGAATAAAAGTAATTAATGTAGTAAAACAAACTTGTTTCCGTATTTTTTCTACGGCATTTGGGTAAATTCTCAGGATAATGACCAGAAAGAAAATTTGAAATTGTTGATGGAAACTGATTTCCAATCCGTTTCATGTATGATTCACGTAGCATCAATGCATCAATTAATTCCTGAGCTGATTCCTTCAGATCTTCTAGTGGAACCGGAAATTATAAGAAAATAATATTTTCTTCCACTTTCCACTACTTTCAAAGAGATAATTAATCATTTCTATTTTGAAAGATAGTTTTTACGTTTCACGTAATGTAAAATTACTGTTGCAATTTTTCTCAATGACATGGTTTTAAAGTATTATTTTTCAGTCGCAAAAACAACTTACCCCAGAAAGTTCTTCTCCCATAACTGCCATCCGCTGGTAATTCACATCGATAGCATCACGAAATGTACGCATTTCAACATGTTGCGGTGATTTTGTATGATCTTGCTTGATTAGCCGATCACTATTACTAGCCAGAGGAGCATTTGAGGTGCCTAGATGTAGCAATGATGAGTTACCATCAAACTGTGAGCCCTCCAATCTCGCCCTGATAATCAAATTGAATCAATTCGATCAATTAATAATTTATATTTCGCTTCATTTATTTATAATTAATATGAATTAAATTTTGACAATATTAGCTCTTTTTTCTCATATGCATTATAATAGGACATCACTAAAATCCTTATTATATCGTGATATATTAATTCACGATATTATTAATAAAGGGAAGTAAAGGATCTGTCTACCCTTATAATTCTTATGTGAATTTATTGCAAATAAAGAATTTTGCAATTCTAATTTTGAGAACTGGCATGCATAAAATGATAAAATCATAATTTTTGCAGTCCTTTACTTCTCGGGATTTATGTAAATTGATAAAGCTGCAAAAAAATTAAAAATTTCATTGATGGAGAAATTCCCGTCATTCGTAAAATACTTATAATCTATATAACACCTTGAAAACAACGTGAATATTAAAGTCTACTCATAATGGCTTTCATTTACCAATACACTCATTACAATTATAATAACAAGAGCAAAGATTTTTGTCAGCTAAATAACCAAATTATGAATGATAGCCTCATCTTCAACGTACATTAGAAAAAAAACTTCTATGATCTGTCTGCTTTTATAATTCATACAATACCATTAATTTTACAACTTTTTTAAAAATTTAATCACTTGAATACTAGACTAAACTATTTTCATGGTTAAGGGATATTAACAGCAATGATGCTCGAAACCATGTGCCTAAATATTAATCACACAATAAAAATCTGTTCATGCAAAACAGCCAAAAAAATAGATTAATAAAAATATTAGACTATTATTGTTGTTACTATTTGTAAATTTTTTCTTTAAACAAAGCTCAAAGACCAAGAGATAAGAGCTCAAATACTTTTATATATTCCTCGATTGTTATTAGATCTGTTATTAATTGAGATAATATAACAAAAATAGTTATTAGCCTCTGTTATTGATTAAGATAATATAACAAAAACAACATGAGCAATAATAATGGTGATCAGAATAATAATAGTAACAACAATAATAGTCTAATACTCAGTGAACTAAATACCGAAGAAGTTTGTTAGAATTCTATCAACTAATAGAGTAGAAAAATTTTTGACTTGTCACTTACTCAACTGTATTGTTTCTTGAATCAGTTGAGTAATCAATCATTGATTTTACTTTCTAAAAGATGCAAATGAGATAAAATACAACAAATCAAACGTTCAGTACAAAAATTGTTCTATGTAACGGAGCAATAAGGTATTTCCAGTATTTCTTGATCCTAGTTTCCGTTTTTCTCTTCAGTTTTCATAATACTGACAAGACTGTCTCTCATAAAACAGCATGCATATGAAAAAACTTATCTGCTCTGAAATGAATGGTGGTTTTCTCATCATACCTGTTAATGTCCTTTAATACAACTTCAAAAATTTATATAAATTCACGACTTTTAAAAGTCTAAACAAATATTTGCTAAGTGATACTAAATATTTGCTATTAGATACAAATGGTGATTTTGATTTGTGTGCCACAGTCTTCAAAAGTAACTGAAAACTTTTAGACTTTATAAACTCTGCAGAAAAAAACAACACGCACTTTGTTATCTATTTTGAAAAATGAAATTATGGAAAGGTATGCACAGTAAAGTCATAATTATAGTAATTTTTTTTTGAAGTAACTACAGTTCTTTGTATTGAAGTTTGATTGAATCAAATTATAATACAAAGAAGCGCAAAAAACAGCTAAATAATTGAAATTTTTTTGAAGAAAAATACTCAGCAATTTCAAAAACCTTCTACTAATATTTTATAAAATGATACCAATGAATAAGTATTAAAGTTAATAAGTAAGGCAGAAATTTCTGAAGTCAACCTGTTTGTCAGCTGTCGATGAATGGCATCTTTATTTTCCTTTACTTCAATCGGATATTGAGAGATTGCAAAAGGTGGCGATAGCATGTGATGAGTAGAATTATCAGAGAATTCAATTTCGAATCCATTAGCATCAAATACATCTGAATCAACCGTTTCTGCAAGCAAATTAATGCAATTTCATCAGCAATCATATGCAAATTATGAAAAATCACTAAAATTTTTAATTCTTAGGTTTAAAATACTGAATTTTTGGTAGTGTAAGTGAATTAAATCAAATTCTAATAATTATAAACTTTTTGAACTCATTTCTGATATATATATATATATATTTTTTTTCATATCAACATATCAATATACTTACTCATTGATTCATTCATAAATGAAGCCAGATGATGATTGTCCATTCTATTTGTTTCAATCGCTAAAATTCAATACGTTAACATACTCATTGCATTTTCATCTTTAAACAAACAAAAAGTAATCTGATAAAATTGCACGTGAATCCTTGCAAAACTTCACGTGACTTACGTGTTTTAGCTTGTTTTTCACTACCAAATTTCTCGTCATCAATTGCAAAAATTTTCACGTCCGCCACACAAGGTGAAAAAAAATTCATAGACGGAGGAGGAGTACTGAACAAACCGCTTTGAGGCCACTTTCGGTGTGCTGCCATTACTCATTCATCTATTACCACACTTATTCTCAAAGCTGTCTGAATGAGAAATGTCGCAGTACTTTTTACTCTCTCCCTAAATACTTTCTATCCTTTTCATCATTATACCAATAATAATCAATATCTTTATCATCATCGTCATCATCATTATCATTATTGTTTGTAATCTTACTTGAAATCAATAAAATGCTGCTTTATCCTTTCCTTTCATTAATCAATCCTTTATCTTTGTACTATCAAGTATGAAAACAATATTTGTTATTATTAATTATTATAACTTTTATATTTATAATAATCAATATATTAACATAATCACTTCATAAATGTGCCTAACATTAATTAATCCTACTTTATTCTATTCCCTCTTAAATGCTCTGTCATGCTGTTAAGCATAGAAACCATAAAAACAATACTTATTATCACTTTTATATAAGCATTATTATTGTCAACATGATATTGTTTTCAACTACAGAAATAGAACAGTTATTAATATTCTGTGCTATGATGAAATTTTGACTGTGTAAATTGTCATTTTCTACGCTTAAAAAAGCTAACAATCAAATATTATTGAAATTAATAATTTTTGTATTTTTAAAACAAAGAAAATATAAATTTTGATTGTGAAAAAGAGCAAATTATTAATCTTCTCATTTGTGATTATTTGTTACTGCGAGGAATGACAGAAATAAGCATTTGCTGCATAAATGAATAATATTATTCGTGGAAAGTATTTTAAAACTATTATTTAGTTTATGTAATTGACAGAAATTAAATTAGTAAAGTATTTAAGTATTAATTTAAAATCGAATAATTCAAAAAAAAATTTAAAATCGAAAAAATTAAAAATCGAATTCAGTGTTTGCCTTTAATTTTTAGTAAAATTTTCCGAAAAATTCAATCACTGCATGTGGATTTTTCATTTTTTTCAATTTTCGAAAATTTTTTCATATATATTTTATTTATATAAAATTGCTTTGAAATGGTTTAGTGCAAAAAATTGATCATACATTTTTTGTAAAATTGTATTATTTTCTGACAAATTTTTGACAATGTAGACAAATTACTGATAATTTTTTTTAATTTTTTATCATTTTTAAATTGATTTTTTGGAAAAAAATCAATTAAAAATTATATAAATTAAAAAAAAATTGTAACCAAA